TCTTGTGTTTTTGATTTTATGTATCCAATTCAAGTCTTGCTTGTAACATTTTCTCTAATGTTGTTTTATAGTCTTCTCATATCTCCTCTGTTGCCTCTTTGTATAGAAAAATTCTTCACCTAAGTGTTTCTTCTGCTCTTCTTATTTTTTGTGCAAATTTTGGTACTGTGCCTAGGCCAATTTCTGCCCATACTAAATTATAATCACTATTTGTTATAATTTCTATCTCCTTAATATCACTGTTTTCTATTCTTAATTTTAAGGAGCTGGCTACTCATATTTAATCAATTCTTGTCTTAGTTACACTATTTGATCATGTAAACTTTTGTTGTATTGAATTGCAATACTAGAATGTTTCTGTAAACTCAATACTTCTTAACCATTCTATTAGTGGAAGCTTTTTATGTTTCTTATTTGTGCTATTTGTTATGTCTAGCATTGTGTTTAGTATTCTGTTAAAGTCTTCCATTATAATGTAATATAAGTTCCTTTTGGCTATACATACATCTTGTATTATAACTCTTTGTATATCTTTTTGTAACTTTCTATCATTTTGTGACAAGTACATAATCCAGCATATGATTGCTGCTTTTTGAATGTGAATACTATTTTAATCAAATATGCATTCAGTTTTTCTATTTTTGTAATAAGTTTGCTCCACTTACTATCTACTAGTACACCTATTCCTAAGCCTTTATACTTATCTTGTTCTGCATTTGATTAGTAATTCCTATAGCTTTCTTTTTGTATCTCTTTAAATTTTGCTTCTTTTTCTTTTACATTGGTTTCTGTTATCTCTACTACATTGAGTTTTTGATCTTTACAGTAATCTAGTAACTTTTGGAGCTTGTAGCTATTTTCTTTGATATCATTTATGTTATGAACTCTCTGTTTTATTGTTTTATTGTCAAGATCCTAATTTCCGAAATAGAACTTAACAAGAAACTGGATAGAGAAAAGACCTTAGTACAAGGCAGAAGTGATATTTAGATATAAAACTGGAAAGAGTTTAAGTACAAGATAGAAGTGAAACTTGATTACAAGATCGAGGAAGCTTTATTGAAAAGACTAGTTTGTACATAGAGGTTTGTAACACTTTTTTATACTTTTATGATGCTATTTCTAATACTTGTATACTTACTAATTAACTACTAATTTATGACTATATAATTTATACGCATATTATTTTTAACTACAAATTGCTATTATCAATGACTACATAATTTATGTGTTTGATCATGCCACTTATGCTATTGTAAATTACTTCTTTATTAATGCCTTCATTATTAATGTGCTGGGAGTTATCTGAGAAGGGTCATGGCAGGCCATGATGAGTCACAATGGGCAGGTCACATTCCAGAGTCACGAGCTTGTTACAGCAGACTGTTACACTATTCTCCCCTTAATGGATCACTCTTCTCTTTTTGATTGCTTGTCTAGGTTTATCAAAGTAGTATTGATGAAATGTGTTGACAGCTTTTTGTGCATTACTTACATTTTTTACTGCTTTCCAAGAATGTTTGCTTATATCATAGTCCTTCCAATCGACCAAGTAGTAGAGTTTGTTCCTAATTAGCTTGGAGTCAAGTATTTTGTTAACTTCAAACTCCCTTTCTCCTTTGACAATAATAGGCGGAGGTTGTTCTGTTCTTCTTTTTAGAATATTGTTCTTTATATAGGGCTCTAGCAAAGAAACATGGAAGGTGTTATGGATCTTGAACGTAGAAGGCAGGTTCAAATGATACACCACTGAGTTGATTTTTTCAAAGATGGTATAGGGGCCCAACTTGCAGTAATCCAACTTCTTGAAAGGTCATTTGGTATTAATGTTGCAACTTAATAACTACATTTTGTCTCTAATTTCAAACCTAAGGGCTTTGTCACGGTGTAAATCTGCTTTTGATTTGTAGTGTTCTTGAGCCTTTCTTAACTCACTAATGATTGTTGTCTTGATTCATTGGAGATGCAGGGCTTTGTCTTCGACTGATGGGACTAAGTAATGAAAAGGTGTTTGGAGGTCGAAATGTAGGTGAAAGCCATAATTGGCAAAGAAAGAAGAGGTTTTAGTTGAAGCATGGGAGGTGTTGTTGTATGCAAATTCTGCCAATGAAAGCAGATCAACCCAATCATCTTGGTGGTAGTTAATTGTGCATCTTAGATATTGTTTCAGCACCTGATTAACTCTTTCACTTTGCCTGTATGACTGGGAGTGATATGCTGATGACAGATTGATTTTTGCTCCTAATAAACTAAATAAGTGACTTCAGAATTTGAAAACAAATTGAGAGCTCTGGTCTGAGACAATATCTCTTGGAACACCATGAAGTTGAATTATTTCTTTAAAGATTAACTGGGCTGTTTGTTCAGCATTGATATTTTTATTACATGCTATAAAATATGCTATTTTCAATAGCCAATCTACTACAATGAAGATAGAATCATAACCTGAAGATAAGGGTAAGTCAGTAATAAAGTCCATGGATATGAAATGCCACTGTTGTGTTAATATAGATAGGGGTATCAATAATCCTTGAGGGCAGTGTCTCAAGGTTTTTGATCTGGCACAGATATTATACGATTTAATGTAATTTCGTATAAAGGAGTGAAACTTAGGCTACCAATAATCTCAGGTTATTAATTCGCTTGTTTTCTTTATCCCAAAGTGACTAGCTAACCTAGAATCATGTCTTGTTCATAATACATCCAACCTTTCGGGTGTTCTTGGTACATATAATAATCCTTTCCTAAATAGGAGTCTGCCTTTATACTGGAATTTATGATAGTCAGAACGTTTACCTGGCTTGTGCCCAGGGTGATTTGTTAGTTTTTTAATTACATCCATGGCTAGAGGGTCTGGTTTGATTTGGTTGTGAATTCAGTTTCTCATGCTAATGTTAATTGGTATTACGAAAGTCACATTTATGTGAAGATTGTTTGCCTTTAATAATATAGTGTGTTGTTAACTAGTTACTTCATCATCTACTTTGGGTTGGTGATCAGGTCTATGAGACAAGGCATCAGATCTTCCTTGCTCTTTATCAGCCCTAAATACTATTTTAAAATCATAGTTTGAGAGGAGAAGAGACCATCGGGCTTGTCTGTGATTCAAAGTTTTCACTGTAGTAAAATACTTCAGGTTCTTATGGTTATAGTAGATAATAGTTTTATATTGAGTGCTATCCAAGTAATGATGCCAGTGTTTGAGGGCTGCTACTATTGCAAGCAGTTCCTTGTCATAAACATCGTAATTTATCTTAGTGGGAGTGAATTTTTAGAAAAATATATGATGGGGTGGAGACCTTTTTTGTTGTGCTATAAGAGAACTGCTCCAAGGGCATATTCTGAGGCATCTGTTTTCAAGATATAAGGCTTTGTTAAGTCAGCTTGGATCAAAATTAGGGCTGAAGTAAAAGCTTTTTTTAGAAATATGAAGGCCTTCTGGGCAGCCACTAGCCAGCAAAAGTTTGTAAATGGCTTTTTTGATTTCTGAGTAAAGTTCATTAAGGAGGTGACTGTTTGTGCATAACTTTTAATAAAATGATAATAGTAGTTGGCAAATCCCAAAAATCTTTGTACTTCTTTAACAGAAATTGGAACAAGCCAAGTGAGAAGGCTTTTCACCTTACCTGAGTCCATCTGGGTCCCTTCAGGTGTTATACGATAGCCTAGAAAATCTATAGTTTTCTTATCAAACTTACATTTTTCTAATTTTGCATAGAGGCCATGTTGTCATAAGCATTGCAGTATGAGCCGTACATGTTAAGTGTGTTCTTCTTGACTTGAGGAGTATATCAGGATGTCATCCAAATAGATAATTACAAATTGATCCAGATAATCTCTGAAGATATTATTCATTGAGTTTTGAAATACTGCTAGGGCATTCGTAAGCCCAAAGGGCATCACCAAGTACTCAAAGTGTCCATAATAAATACAGAATGCAGTTTTCTACTCATCTCCTGGTTTAATGTGAACGAAATTATAGGCACCTTTTAGGTCAATTTTGGTAAAAACCTGAGCTCTAGCAAGCCTATTAAGAAGTTCAGGTATCAGTAGAAGAGAGTAACAGTTCTTAATAGTGATTTGATTTAAACCCTAGTAGTCCACACACATCTGCAGGGTCCCATTCTTTTTTTTGACAAAGAGGATGAATGCATCAGCTGGAGATTTGGAGCAATGAATAAACTCTTTCTCCAGGTTTTTATCGATATACTCCCTTAAAACTTCAAGCTCTCAGGTGGATAGTTCATAGATAGGACCCCATGGTGGTTGTGTATCAGGCAGCAAATCAATGATGCAGTTATACTGCCTATTTACAGGCAATTTATCAGCTTTTTTTTTGTTAAAGATATTACTGAAATCCTGGTATTTTTTGGAGACAAAGGGAATGTTTATGGAGTTAAAACTAGATGCTAGTATGATAAAGACTTGAACTATGTATAGTTTTTCTTGTATGAAGTTAGCCTTTATTGGGGTTCTTGGGTTTAGATGATGTGCCTTATACAATGGATCTGTAAAAGTAATAGAATGCTCATGCCAGTTAACTATAGGATTGTGTAGGATTAGCTATGGCAAGCCCAGGATCACTGGATAGAGAGGTGAAGGGATAAGGTTAAAAGACAATTCTTCATAGTGGTCTTGAGAGTTCAGAGATAGTGGTTCTGTTTTGTGCATAACATTCCTCGAAAAGATCTTTCACTCATCGATTACCTCTACCATTAATGGTATTTTTTTTTTTTGAAAGCTTATATTATGTTTTTTGGCAAATGTGATATCTAAGAAGCAAGCTGATGTGCCTGAATCAATTAGTGCCAGGATGTTCACTTTGTGTCTTTCTGGTAAGCTTAAACATAGTTTGAAGGTAAGTGTGTCTGTAGGCAGGTTAGGTGGTAGGATTTTTTGAGGTAAACTAAAGTCTTGATCGAGCCGAAGCCTCCTTACTGCAACTGGGGTTGCTCTTTTCCCGAAAACCCCTTAGGAATCATGATTGTGTCAATTTTAGGCTAAGTGTTGCTTTTGTTGAAGCAATTTCTAGCCATATGGCCTGGTTCTCTGCAGTATAAGCAAAGGTTATTTGCATGATGTCGTTCTTTTTCTTCGGTAGACAATGACCTATATTTTATGGCATCTATTTGCATAGGTTCTGTAGTAGAGATGGATTAGCTATTAGGGACTTGATTAAAATATCTTTCAGAACTCGGGTCTCTAGGACATTCCTGTCTATATTCAAACAGTCAGTTGTCACAACATACTGTCTTCGAAATTGCATTATTTAGTGAAATGGGGTCTTCCAAGATAAGAAGTAAATCCTTTACATTGTTTTGTAAACCCATTCTGAATTGGTTAATCAATGCAGCTTCTCCCCAATCTAAATTACTGGAAATTTGCCTAAATTCTAAAGCATAACTTGAGGCCAGTCTTGATCCCTAAACAAGTTTTCATATCTTATTAGTGGCTGTTTTGGCCTTATTGGCATCACCAAATGTTGCCTCAAGTTCTTTAATAGTTCTGATTGTTTTTCTAGCAGAGGGCAAACTACACAAGAGCTGATCCTGTAAGCAAACTTCCAAGGAGTCCTACTTGCATTCAGTTATTGGAGTAGCAATTTGGTTGCAACCATATGACAAGATGAACTTGATTCAAGAACCCTCTAAATTTGCTTCATGTACCATCAAATTTGTCTGAGAGGCTCACTTTGGGTTCTTTATATTGGCTATCCATCTCTCCAAAAGCATGAAGTTAGTTGAAAGTATTCTTTAAGTCTGTGTTTTCCTAATGGAATGTTTGGTTGTCTAATTGGAGTTGGTTTAAAGTGATCAATATATCATTAAGGTCAGGTTGGCTTTTCAATTTTATTTTATTTTTTTTTTTTTGATTATTATTTTATTTTTAAGTGCATAATAAGCTGGTGGCAAATGAGCTAAGATATAAGGTGCCGAAAAGACAGATACTTGTTGATCTAATACAAGTCAAAGTTGGGCTCAGCTTGGCAGCCAGAACTCATAATAGTAGTCTGTTCAAACTGTCAAGATTCTGATTTCTGAAATAGAATTCAACAAGGAACAGGACAGGGAAAAGACCTTAGTACAAGGCAGAAGTGATATTTAGATATAGAATCAGGAAGAGTTTAAGTACAAGGTAGAAGTGAAACTTGATTACAAGATTGGGGAAGCTTTATTGAACAGACTAATTTGTATATAGAGGTTTGTAATACTTTTTTATACTTTTACGATGCTATTTTTAATACTTGTATACTTACTAATTAACTACTAATTTATGACTATATAATTTATGCATATATTATTTTTAATTACAAATTGCTATTATCAATGACTACATAATTTATGCATTTGATCATGCCACTAATGCTACAGTAAATTACTTCTTTATTAATAACTTTATTATTAATGTGCTATGAGTTATCTGAGAAGAGTTACAGTAGGTCATAACGAGTCATGATGAGTGGGTCACATTCCAGAGTCACAGGCTTGTTACAGCAGACTGTTATATTTATAATGTTCTATTCCTTCTGTGATTATTCCTGTTCTTGTTGGCTCTTTCTTGTTTGACTTTATTTTACTAAGCTGAGCTCTTTCTTTGTAGATATGTCCCTATAGACAACTGTGATAACTGTCTTAGGAGTGATCAGGAGCACTTGTTTTGCTTTTTGTATTTCTTAACAGCTCCTTACATAACTTTTCTCTAACCTTTTCTACCAATCTTTGAAGGATTTTTTTAATTGCTTCTTTATTTTTTTCATCTTTTCTATCTTGCTTTTTCTTTCTTCTATTTTTTGTATCTCTCCTCTTTTCTTTATTCCTAGGATCTGAAATGCTCCAACTTTCTTTACTGTTTTTCTTTCTTGTTATTTTCTGCATTTGTTTTTGAATTCTTCTTTTAGGATTTTTGTTGAGTATCTTATTTCTAGTATCTAAGCTTTCTTTATTTCTATAGCTACTTTCTGTTTCCTATTTCAGACTATAGTTAAAGTACTTTATTCTTCTATCTATCACTCTTTTTTTGGCTTCTTCACTTTCAAATTCAACTACAGCCTGGCTTTTTTGGTTTCTATTTTTGTTTAAAAAAATATGTATTGCTTTTGCATTGATGTTTCTCAACTGTCTTAACCAAAATGTTTCTTTTGTAAAGCTAGACAGCTTTTTAATTCTAGCATGAATTTTTCTTCTTTCTTCCAATTCTGAACTGTTACTTCTTCCTATTATTATTCTAGCTAAGTGGCCACTTCTTAATGGTAGTATCCAAATTTTTCTTATTTTATCTTTCAGCTTTTGATCTGTTGTACACTATTCTATTTCTGCTTGGGTTTTTTTATTCATGCTGTATCATATATGTATTTTATTAGGTTTTTCTATTTTTTTGACCAATTCTATAACTTGCTTTGCAGTGGTATTATACAGAAGATTACAAATTGTATACTGCATTTTTCTTCTGTAGGTTTTTGAGGCTTTGTTTCTTTTATGCTTCTAACCTTTATAGTTTTCTTCTCTTCTATCTTCTTTGTCTTTTTAATCTCTATTTCTTTAACTATATCTTTTTGGATATTCTCTTCATCATTTGTCTTACCTTCTTTTTTCTCTTTACTTTTTTTCTTATTTATGTATTCCTCTTTCTTCTCTATGCTACTCGAGTTTCCATCTTCTAGGTTGTTAATAAAGCTTAGAATTTGTTATTCTAGTTTCTCATTTTCATAATTATTAGTTCCTGTTTCTGACAGAGTTAGTGTAAGCTTTCTGCTAAACACTTCTTTAGCTGTTTTTCTAATGAACTTGAAATGCTAATTTTGTTTGCTTTCTCTTTTTTGTCGATTGCTTTTTGGTACTTTTTCCAATTATATATTTCTATTGCCTGCCTAACAATATACACTGTTTCTGGTTTTGCTATACCTAAGTGCTTTGTAATTTCTATATCTTGTTTTAGTATAAAGATGTTTAATTCACTTAGAGTTTCTGTAATTTCTTTCTTCTGTCATTCAAATAGACCTTTGTACTTTTCTAGATGTTCTATAATGATCTGATTATCTAATACTACTTTTATAACTCATATAAAATTTGTTTATATTGCTATACTGTTATTATGAACTATTGCCTATTGCCTTTTTAGTGCTTTGTTTATTCTGTTAATATTTTCATATGCATGTATTGTTGTTGTTTTGTTTTGGTGATCTGCAATACCAGGTCTCTGTAATGTGCCTACTTTTTGTTTTTACAAAAGCAAAATTTGGTTGTTTTCTTTTTGTGCTATATGCTTTTGTTTGTTTTCTTTAATGCTTACACTTATTATATAGTTTTTTTTGTCTTGTTTGTGCTAATTGTGTTTGTTTTACTGTCTTATTCTGTTGTTCTCAAATCATGTTTAATAAATTGAATGTTTTCTGAATAATGGTATTATTTAAAATATTAAAAGTATAGGGTCAAATGTGCTTTTCTGCTATATACTAAATAGAATAATGTTATTTTTGTTAAATTTTGGTTTGCTATATAATATGAAAATAATATTAGTTTAATAATTAATTTTAGTTAGTTATATTGATATTGTTTTTGTAATAATTTGCAAAATAGTTTATTGTATCTTTTGACAAGGCCATTATTTTGTGAATAGTATAAGGTTGACAGTTTAAGTTTTATTTAAAATTTTTTAGTAATAAAATGATTAATTTATTTTTGGAATTTGTATTATAATCTGATGTTATGAATTAAAGTCAACAATAGCTACATATAAGCTCTTTATATATAAATTCAGTAACTTTAGTAGCATTGTTTTTTTAGAGTACTCTTGCTTTAGGCCATTTTAACATATAGTTAGTAGCTATAATTATATATCTTTTCTTGCAGAGAGGTTATGGGAAAGGCTTTATAATATTAATTCTAATATAATAGAATAGTGAGTCTACTTGAATTAGGTGCAAGAGTTCTTAAAGCTTGTTTTTCTTACACAATTAGCATGCATTGCATGTTTATACATACTCTCTAATACTTTCAAACATTTGAAGCCAAAGTAGTAGCTTTTTATTTTTTTAAATATTGTAGTCTGACTTATATGACTTCAATAAGATGATTATATACAAAAATAATATAGACTTGATTTTAAAGTTTGTATAACTTTTAACTAATTGTCTTTATTCTGTTTATCTTTTTGTATAACATATTTTCTTTTACTTTAAAGAACTTAAACTTTAATACTATCTTTAATTATTCTTATTTGTTTAACTCTAATAGTAACTAGTGTTCTAATAAGTATTATCTCAGTTGATAGTAGTATGTTAGATTCTTTTTTTTTTGTAATTATTTCTACTATTATTATTTTTTTTGTGTTTGATTAGTTCAAAAAAAAATGTGAAAAAAAAATTTAAATTTAGTGTAATTATTAGTATAATAAAGTCTTTTGGATGTCAAAACACCAATAATCTGAACTGTATTGAGTCTGAATTTTTTTTTATTATATTGTACTTTAGATATATAAAAGAGCATTAGCATTAGAGTATTTTTGTCTAAGACAATGTTCAATGATATAATTATATAGTTGCAAATATAAAATATAATAAATACAACATCTCTTTAGTTTTAAAGTTTTTAATTATTTCAATACTAAATAATCAGTTATAATAATGAATAGTCTATAATCTAGATAGTAGTAAAAATATTCAATTGCCAAATAATGCTGAAGCTCTTTTGTTCTGTTGTAAAATAGTTTTTTTTAAGTTTGGTTAGACTTCTGAATAAAGGCCTGCATTAGGTTTACTGTCTAGTTCAGCCTAGTTTGGCCTAAAATTTTTGTAGGCCAGACCAGAACTAAAGCAAAATTTTATAATTGCAGGCTGGGTTGGGCCTAAAATTTTGCAAAATATATAAGAAATTTTGTAAACTGGGTCTGGTTAAAAAAATTTTTAATATATGCAAGCTAGGCCAGAATAGCAAAAAATTTTAATTCTAAATATAGTTTAGGCCAAGTCTAAAAAAATAGAAAATTTGCAGGCCCTTACTTCTAAATATATAAAAAATGACATATTCTTTGCAATTATCTCTAATTTGAGTTAAAACAGCATCAAAGCCTACTTCAGATGCATCTATATACAAAAAAAATCTTTGATCAAAATTAAAATAATGTAAAATTGAAATGAAAATTAAGTGTAGTTTGAAGGTTTTAAAAAATTGCTATTGGTTGTTAGTCAAGTTGTATGATATGTTTTTTTGTAATAAAAGATAAAGAGATTTTGTAATTGTTGCAAAATTTTTAATTAATTTGTAGTAGTAAGATAATAGCCAAGAATATTGCATAATTGTTATATGTTCTGAAGTACTAAAAAGTTATAAATTTTTTTTATTTTAGCTTTGTTTGATTGTACTTCATTTTTTCTATTACATGTTTAAAAAATAAGAATTTTATAAAAAAAATTAATATTTTTCCAAATTTAGTCTAAAACTTGTATTGCTTATTTGTTAGAACACTTGGTTTAAATAATTAATATGTTTTGTAAAAGTGCATAAATAAACATTAATATCATCAATATATATTATAACATATTTACTAAAAAAGTACTTAAAAGTTTATCTATTAGTCTTTAAACTATTGCAGAGGTATTACAAAGACCAAATAGTATAGCTGTAAACTTGAACTTTCTATATTTTATCAAAAATACTGGTTTTTATGATCA